TATTTCTGTTTCCCTGCGTATTGTACGTATATGTATGTGTATGTATTTAAAAAGGATATTTTTCTCATTCTCTGGCTGTTGTTTTTCTCGGTTTTCCCTCTCTCTCTCTCTCTGTCTCTGTCTCTGTCTCTTCCTATCGCATTTTGTGCGGTGCGTAATGTGGCAGCTGGTGCTGAGGATTCCCGGGATGAAGCAGAGCAGCAGCGGCAGGTCCTGCTGAAGCTTTATTATAACAAACTTGTTACGAAACGTGCCAGGGCAAGCAAGCCGGCAGGATATATGTAATAAGGATATGCTTGCCATTAACACAACGTCTTTGCCCTTATCCGCAGGAAGAGGCAAATCCTTGGGCAAATAAAAATAAACACATAACATGGCCAGGCAAAGGGCACACAAAGGGGAACACGGAGGGAGACACAGGAGACGGACTGGAGGAGGATGAAACATTTGCTTATTTCTGCCATAATTCGAACCGAATAACCCAAATAGAACCCAAAAGCACACACATACGCAGAGAGAGAGTGAGAGAGATGGAGAGACATGCACGCACACATTGAAAGAACAATTAAATTGAAATTGCGACACACGCACACAACACAGAAGCACAAACACAACCCCAGACACAGGCACAGGCACAGAAAGGACTATGACAATAAGGGAAACCGGGATAAGAATACGAATACGAATATACATACAATACAATAATAATTCCAAGACATTTGTATAAATTTGCAATTGCATTTTATTGGTCCGCTCCATTTGCTTATGTGTGTGGGGGTGTCCTTCTGTGTCCTGTGTCTTCTGTGTTTGTGCCTGGCATACATGATGTGCGTCTTTATCGGACGCGTTGCGTATACGCCAAGTGGAGGCTAATGGAGAAATCAATGCAATCAGTCCAAGAAATTGAACAAATATTCTCTCAGCCTCTCTCTTAGCTTGTTTTGGCTAACTGGCCAAAGTAATGCCATCGATGGAATAGCTCATTAGTGACTGTAATTATAATTGTTCTCCCCTACACAAGAACCAATCCAGGACCATGGATTGCCTTTTGCCTATTGCAGATGAGAGTTCGAGATGTTATTTATCATCAAAGTAATATCTTTGCCCATTTCTAAGGACTTCCCTGGACAAATGCCATGCCCCATGGGATGGCTCCCTTTCTCTGATCAATCCATTACATTTTTATAGAGGGGACCTCTTTATGGCATGGGATTGTATGGTATCGCGAGAGCTCTTTCAAATCACATTTCAATGTATGCCTGAATACAGCGCAGAGCAGAGGAGGAGCAAAGCAGGCACTCTGTGTGGCAGCCACAAATCATCATCAGCTGCCAGGGCTTTAAAAAAAAAAAACTGTTGACAATGCAGGGAGACATCAACAGAGGAACAGCAACAATTTCATTGACACACTTTTCTCGCTTTCTTGGTGGAGAAAAAACAACAACAGGACAAATGTTGACTGGCAAAATCGATGGCCTCAAAAGGGCCAGAACAGGCGAGAATAAAACAAAATGAAAACCGAAAGCAAAGTCGCAGTAAATCGCACAGAAGTGTGCCCCTGTCGCAGCTCCCAGCCCCCAGCCCCCAGCCACCATGCCCCAGTCCTCAGTCCCCAGTTCCCAGTCCCGGATCCTACTCCCAATCTGTGGCAGTTGTACGTGTCATTTGGCTGCAGTTTTATTTGCTTGGCCATAATGCAAGTTTATGTTTATGGCCCTGCTCTGCTCTGTTCCAGCTGCAGCCCCTCGCCTCCCTGGAAAAAACTCCTGACTCTGGGCCATTGAAGTTAGCTGATCTTGCACTCGGCTAAGCAGAAAACACACAAAACTTGGGATAGACACAAACGGAGAAGTGGATGACGATGGCTGTTGGCTGCTGGCTGCTGGCTGTGCATTTCCCAGAGTAACACTTTTGCATGCTCTTAAAAGACATTTGAATGAGTTCAAATGATGATACTAGATCTAGATACTAGTCCCAGTTCGAAAGAGAAAAGTAAATACTAGAAAGAGTTTTCTGTTTATGTTTATCGATGGTTTTAAGCACAAACAGTAGGTACTCGTACGTAACAAATTTTGCAAATATATTCCCCTGGCGAAGCGAAAGAATTTCAGGAATAAATATAGTACATACCCTTTCCCATAGAAAGGGAGAGCGAGAGCTCTTTCCTCCTGACCCTAATCGTTGGCACATGACGTCGCACGGACTTTCACGATGTTGCAAATTGTTAAAAATAGATTTTGCTTGGCATTTTGCTGGCCAGACCTGAGGCCACCACCAGACCACGACTCCAGCTCCAGCACCAGAACCAGAACCAGCTCTGGCTCGTAGTCGGGACATGGACTTGGGCACGTTTCCATTGCTCTGCCGAGCAATGAAATGTTCTAATGCCATTTGCAAGTGGAACGGAAGAAGAAAGGGCCAACAGGGAGCAGGGCAGAGGTAGAGGCATCTCCGAGTCAACTCTGGACGGGATGTTGGCTTTTCAGATGGCAGACAGACGGGCGGGCGACATTTTTTCGGGAGAAATAAAAATGGAAAGTTGGCATAAAAAGTAAACAGCGGCAGATGGAAATACGGAAATAGGGAGAGGGGATATAAGGGATACTGGGTGACGAGGAGGAGGTGGATGTGGAAGGTAACTAAACGGAAAGCAAAAGCCAATGCAACAAAAGCGAAGGAAAAACAGAGAAAATGCAGCAACCTCTCCCATTCGGAGGAGGAGGACTGGGATGGAGGATGGGGAGAAGTCACTAAATCAGGTCAGGGATTTGGATGGTGAATGCTTCGCTCCCTGTGTGTGTGTGTGTGTGTGTGTATGTGTTTTTGGTTTTTTGTTTCTCCTCCTGCTGCTGCTGGTGCTGGTGCTGTTGGTGTTGCTTTGTTGTTTCAGCATTTTCTTTTTCGAGTGAAACTCTCTCTGCAGTGGGGAAAAAGTGAAATTGAAATTACGTATACGCCGCGGTGCTGGTCCCGAAGCGAGCATTAATTTAATTAAGGCGAAAACAACAACAAATTGAACTGAAAAGCCGGCCAAATGAGTGCACCACGACGCATAGTCGAGTCTCTTTTAGAGCCAGCTTTGTGTGTCACTGGGGCAGCAGCTGCCAACGGAGTGACAGAAGGAGGGGGGTCTGGGTGGGGGGTGTGGCCAGAGAGCGGTGCAGGGGTAAGTGCAGAAGAAGTGGCATCAACGTTTGCCCGACAACCGCAAGCTGCATTTTTAATTGCGCACACGTGCAACACTCCCGCCCCGAGGACAACTCAAAGGAGAGACAGAGAGAAAGAGGAACAGCTGGAACGGCTGCTGGAGGAGCTGAACGAGCTGAAGGAGCTGAAGGAGGAGGAGCTGGCAGAAGGAGATGCGGTGGTGGTGGCTGGCTCTACTTGAACTCATTTGGCGTGGAAATTATGGCACGCTCAAGTTGATTTTGACAGGCAGCTCAAACACACAGCATACACCACAGCACAGCACAGCACAGCACACAGGCTGTCCCGTGCCTGTGCCTGTGCCTGTGCCACACTGTGCCGCGCACGCATCCTTGAATCCTTGAAAAGTTTTGCGCAAATGTTCGGCACGTTCTGCGTCCCCGACCAGGTCCGTGGGGGCTTTGATCCTCTACGACATGGCCTGCAGCTGCTGCCAATGAGAGAAGGAGAGGCGGGGACTGGGACTGTGCCTGGCAAGTGGCAAGTGGCTGTGGCACCTAGACCATGCTGCCATTTTGTGTTTTGTTTCTACTGTTCCTGCTGCTCCTCTCGGCTGCTCGCTGCCCCTTAATTGATATGCAATAAACATTGGGCATTGAATGGCAGACAGGCGTATCAATAGAAGGTCCTGAAGGAATCGGCCTACTGAACGGCCAGACGGACGGACGCACAACTCTGACAACTAAATCCGGCCAGGACTCCGTTGCTCCATGCCCATGCCCCATTTGCAATATTCTCTGTCTCTTGTTTCGCTTCGTTTCGTTACGTTGGCTCCTTTCTTTGCTCCTCCGGCTGCCGGCCTGCCTGCCGCTTGCTGCCTGTCAAGTATTCAAGTTTAATGCGCTTAGCTGCTGCTGCTGCCTCTGCCTCTGTTGCTGTCTACTAAGGCTCTGACTCCGACACCGTCTCCGGGTCTCACTGTGGCTGTGGCTGCTCTTCTGCTCCTGTTCCTGCGTCTGCTCCTGCTCCTACCCGTCTTCCTGGCTGATGTTCATTTGTAGAGCGTTTAAGAAAATTGAGTTACAATGTATTTTGGTAAATTTAGCAAAAATCTTTGCCTCCTAATTGAGTCTGTGCGGTGTCGAAACCAGAGGATATTCTCACATTGAGTATACGCACTGTAAATTGCATTACAAGGATATTAAGCATTAATTAAGTAACCATGTGCTTCATGTGCGCTGTGCTTCAAAGTGCTTACGTGCACCCTGGCATTTGATTACATCGAAGAAACCGTTAACAAGCTAACAAGTTGTGAAGCATTTAATCTTTCATCTTTCATCTAGTACAGCAGCAGGCAGGGCACGCGTTCACTCGCATGAAATATAAGTACTGTTCGTGGATTGAGCAAGTAATTGGGAAGCATGAACCATCAGCCTTTTTATCATTGCTCCCTCGGCTGCTCAGTATTGCCACCTTGGGGCTCACTCGGAGAGAGGGTTCGCCTAGTTTCGGGGCTGACAGACAATTGGGAGGGAAGAAAGGTCGGAGCTGAGTACTCCATTTATTATTTACGATTACAATTTTGGCTTGGGGAAAGAACCAACTAGCCCCCCAACTAATCGAAGTAACTCAATCTGGTTGTTTGATTTGGTGAAGAAGTTGACTCAGACCAGGCATGGTATGACATTCAGCAAATGTGTAATTAAAAACATACATACTCGTATATGTATTACCGACGATGGGACCAGAAGGCACTAAGCCTGTACAGCCTGGCTATAAATTTGGGGGATTATTGGATGTACCTACAGTACGTATATTCTACAATTTATTTCGTATCTCGTATAAGTACTTACTCATTTTGTCAGAGGCAACAATGCCTATGCGGCTGTGCCTGTACGGCTGTTGGCTTTTGGCTGTTGGGTTGGTTTGTTATCACGTATACGCCTAGTAGCGCATGTTGGTTAGCACCACAGAAAAGAATGAACTTCGTACTTAATATATGTATTTAGTAATATATGTTATGTTATGTAATTCACAGTTTTATTTGAAGTGTGCGTTTGTCGTATCGCGTTTCGCGTATCGTTTGCTGAATAACACGGAAAACAGAATGGTATGATGGGTGGCCGGTTGGGGGGAGGGAATTTGTTATCACACAGAAACACACACACGCACACTATAGACACACAGATACATCCACAGAGTGAGACAAATGACATCTGCTGCTTCTGCTACTGCTGCTGGGAATGTTGTATGCATTGTTTAGCCTTTTTCTCTTTGGTCCTGGTCCTGGCAATTTGTCTGCTCTTGATTGCCATTTAAATGTGCATATTTAATTTATTTATTTATCTATCGAATGCCCCACTACCACCACACCGCAAAACAGGACACACACTGGGACCCACACACAGTCATCCAAAACGATCCAACACGAAGCCACTCAAATGCAATTTGGGTTTTAATTTTAATTTATTTATGACATTTATTTAAATTCTACCAAAATATTTGTTTGAGGGAGAATTTTTATTTGAGCTCAACGCAACGCAACGCAACACCATTTGTGTTTGTGTCTTTGCCTCGATAATTTATGCAAATTATTTTCCAATTCTGGTTCTCTGCTTAATGGGGCATACACATACACATACCCATACATACATGTACATACATTTGTACGTATGTATATGCCGGATTCCGCTCCAGCGGCCATTATTTATTGTTGATTTGAACACAGCTATGTTCTTGGCGGATCGGATCGGATGGCTGGAGTGGAGCGGAAATTGAATTAATTTTGAATGATAATTCGCTTTAATAAAAAGCCGATGAAACTTTCAAGTGTTAACTGAATAAGGCAGCGAATAAATCGAAAACGGCAGAGAAGATACATGCTATGCTAGTTCTCTTTTTTTTCGTACTAGTTTATCAATTTTTATTTAAATTTCCATGGCATCCCCATGTCCTTTGAGCCAAACACGGCCCCTCCTCCCCACCCTCTCTCGACATTTTGCTCATAAAGGGCCCTGGTCTTTGCACACAATGAATGGAATTTGTATGCAATTAATAAATTGTTGGCTCGTTTCTCACGGAATTTATGCGCCGCACAATTAAAATTAACGCCTGAATACCTATATACTCGTACTCGTACGCATACACTACCATAGCCATACATCCTGGGGAATGGGTGTGCATAATCCCCGTTGGGATGCCAACAAGGGGATTAATACAAAACGGTTGATTAAATTTGTATAAATGCCATTCATTTATTCAGTGTTCTCCAGGCAGGCCGATCTCATTATCTCAACAAAGTTATTAACTATTTACCATCGATTACAGGAGATGTAAGAAAGGGAATATCAGTATAGCAGTACGGCAATGAGGGGGTCTAAAAACTATGCCTTACAATCTGCAATCTACGAATGGGGAACCGTGGGAAAAGCCCATCGAAAGACTCTGAAGGATTGGGACCATTTTGTATATTTTGTGGATATGCTATTAGTACAGACAGAGCAGCAGCCACTTTATTATACATTTATTATCCGTGTGGATAATATCCACTGCAAATTAATATTCCCTGGATATGAATACACCCACTACTGGCGTGGCGTGGCATGGCATTGCAAAAAGTGCACATAATTGTCATTTTAATTAAAATAAAAACGCTCGCTTCGACAACTCTCCGATTTGTTAATGAAAATGGCAGCTAGGCAGTGGCATTAATTAAATTATAGGCTGGCCGGTGGGCGGAATCCTTTCAGATTGGCCCCGTTCCAGTTAACAGGAGGCCAGTTGTTGGCCAGTTAGCCCGCTGGCCAGCTGGCCCGCTGTCCCGTTGACCAGTTGGGCAGACAAATTTGGGTTTTTGGTTCAATTTAAAATAATTAAAATGCCGCATATAAGCCTCGCCCGAATCCTTTTTCCGACTGCTAACCGAACCTTTTTCCCAACCGCAAATATTATAATGCGGCCCTGAAGCCTCAGATCTCTCGCTCTCGTGTCTCTCGCTCCCTTTCTCTCCATCAGTCGCCGGAATTGGAGCACTTGAGCGTTACTAAGCAAGATTTATGAGCCGCTGGGGAGGGGCGTGGCATTGGCATTGCCCTGCCCCTGCTACTGCCACTGCCCCTCTCCGTTGGGTATTTTTTTGTTTGTGGTATTTGCCAAGGTCTCTCGGTTTGCCTTGTTTGCCTTTCTTTGCGGCCTCGGAGAAGTTTCTGCTCTGCAACTGGCCTTGCTCTTTTCTATCCCTCCCTCACTCCCTCCTGGACACTCGTGGGGCCCTGGCATTTAAATAATTTAAAGCATCTGAGCATTTTGGGCAATTTAGTTAATGGCCTATGCCTGTGCCTGTGCCTATGCCAGTTGCCTGCCCCTGTGCGCCGCGGAAGGGTTGGCTGCCAGAAGTCCCCAAAACGGGCTCGTAAATAACGCCAAGCGAGGCGATAACGATTGGGCCTCGAAGCCCAAACCAAACCCAAATTTGGATAACGCAGGCCAGGCAGATAAATCCTTAAAATGGCTTTAAGACGAGGACGGGGACGGGGCCCCGTTCGCAATGATGCCCCATGTGACGCAGGTTCGTGCAACGCTCGTTTATGTGGCACACTAGTTCAAGGACTCGCCTCCCCTCCCCTCCCCTCCCTGCCCGTTTCAGTCCAACCCAATTACGCAAAAAGTACAGAAGAGCCACATGTACTCGCACTGAGGGGAATAAGCGTAGTCCTACTGTGTGTGTGTGTGTGTGTGTGTGTGGGGCATCCAACCTGCTGCCTGGGCAACCTTTAACCCTAAAAATGCGACGACCCGACCTAGAAATGTGTACGCTCTCTCTCTGTGGGCTCCACACCCATATGGACTCGATGTTATTTTTTGCACAAAGCTAGCGTGCCATGAATTTTTGTTTAAGCTTATGGCCCGCACACACACAAACACACACCCACAGAGGCAAAGCACACGACGAGGAGTCGCGCAAATGTGCCAATGCCAGAGTGAATGGACGCCAGAAGGAGGCGGCATGCGGGAAGGCATGTGGCATGCAGCAGCAGCAGCAGGAGGAGGCTTGACTGACAACGACAGAGCCATCAGAGCCCCAGCTTATGCAAACGATCAAGGACACGGCATGCCAGCAGCCGTTGCATTGGTGTTAGTGCGCCTGCAGGTTATGCAACACTTTTTGTTTGTCCATTTTCTTGTTTTCCTGTTTGCCCACGGTCTGGCAAATGCTTTCGCTTTCGCCTTCCTTTTCTCTCATTTCCTTGCCTCTAATTGCTGGCAATTTGTCAGGCTAATTTCCCAAAACTTGACACCTCAACAAATACAAATACAAGTACAAATACAAAAAAGCACACACACACTCACAGAGATTCACCCGCGATTGCTTCTGCCATAGAACACTTACAAATTAATGACGTCAAAAATAAAACTTGCTCTGCTTTGCCGCTCTGCCTCTCTGCCTCTCACACACTCTCTCCTTGGTCCGAACTGCTCGCTGTGTGTGTATGTGTGCTGTGTGCGTGTCCCTTGTGCGTGTGAGCAGCTGTCTGCTTGTGTGTGTGTGCATGCTGTTTTCACTTTCACTTTCATTGATTTTCAAGCATCGCTAGCAAAAAAAAACAACGCTGGCCACAGCTCCCCGCATCAACTTGTTTTCCATTCATTACCAGAACAAACAAAAACCAAAAAAAACAAAAAAAAAATACTCTTCACTTATACGCTAATTTTTGCACGGAAATTACAGTTTGCTTGTTGTATGTATTTTATTCGTTCGCTTGGGTTTTTATTGAACACTTTCGCTGGTCGTCGGGCACTGGCGCGTGGAATCTTTGCGTGGCATCATGGTCCGCTCGGGGCCACTGTCGACTGTCGTCTGACGGCGGAGACGGGCCAGATGTCAACGTCGAACTGCGCTCGCTGCCAAAACTGAACTGAGCTCTGACGCTGGCTGAAGCGTTGCCATGGCCAAGAGGCAGCAGCAGCAGCAGCAGCAGCAGTGGCAAAGGCAGTGCCAGTGGTGTTGGCAGTGGCTGTGGCAGCAGCAATACTGGTTACAGTTTTTCGCAGTTGGCGGCGCAAGCGCAGATGTCTGTTCTCATTTCTGTTTGCCGTTCCCTGACGTGTCTCTGGTCACAGTTCGCATCACACTGTTGCGTTCTGTTCCTCTCTCTCTCTGCCTCTGTCTCTTGCTCTGCTCTCCCATCTGCTGCTTTGTTTACATTGTTTTCCTCTGATATTGGAGGTATGGTGTGTATATTTCTGTGGCAGAATTCGTCTCTCGTCTATAAATAGAATTACGCATACGCCACGTGGACGGGGTGGCAGAGTGTGAAGGTGCGAAAGCAGTCCTTCAATTGCGTGATTGATTGTCGACATCTATTTCTAATCTTCCACGGAACTTCTTCTTTCAGCTGGAGCTATTTTTATTAGCTTCCTACACATACACAAAACTTATCCATGCAGGACTGTGTCCTGTCCTGGACCACGTGTCGAGCAAATTACTTGCCCCGGAGCAACTCAATTTAAAGAATTCGAAGAGCCAACAAGCAGACCGCAACATGCCTCAAAGAACAACGTGTGTGGGTGTATGTGTTTTTCCTTTTCTGTAGTTGGAAAAGAGAGAACAATTTTCACGCTGATTGGTTTCTAGTCATTTTTCCTTCGCTGTTCGCCGTTCGCCTTCGCCTTCATTTATTTTGTGTGCTGCGCTCTACACAAAAAAGTCAACGAGCCAGAGCCAAATGTCAACCAACCATTTCTCTCAGCCCCCCTACCCTGTCGGAGCACCCCTCAAGGACCTTTGGAATTTAATAATGAAATAGCCTCGTCCTTGGCCTGTGAGAACAATTTTCAATTTTCCACTTTCCCCATTTCGGCTTATGGCCTT